TATACACACATACACACAGTGTATATAACTGCCTCCTCATTTTAAAACACCACCGCACGCCACTGATATATATATATATATATATATATAATTTATTTTATTTATTTTGAGAAAAGTACTCTTATTATAAAAAAAAAAATTTATTTGTATACTGCACTTTGTCATACATTGACACATTGAGTTAGACATGACTTGCTATTCAAGAACTGTTCCGACTGATTCAGAGATTGAGTTGTTCAAAATGGATTTCAAGTCTGTTTCATGAGTCTTTTTGACTGGTTCATTAAAAAGAATATTACATGATTAAGATCTGGTTCACAAGTCCTTATCATAAGGTTTTTTTAATTGATTACCACATATGGTTCAATATTGTGATCTAGAAGATTGTGTTTCACACCATTTCCATTTCCCTGCAAAAGGAATTTATCTACACCTGTCTTTGTTGATGCAGTTCATGGGCTTTTTTCTCAAGATTTGATCCGCAGGATTACACAATCGTGCTGGTTTTTCAAAGAGCTTTAAACACACCTGCTGTCATGTTTGACTGAATTCACCTCTTGTTCTCTGTCATTCTTTCTCGCTCACACATTTTCTTTTGGTGTTAATTTCACACCTGAGGCAAGGCCATTTGTGACCCCAGAACCTGTGCATCTCTGGAGGGGAGTTGAATTCTCCAGGGTTCAGGTCATAACGTGACGTTTCCAGCAATATTGAAGTATTTCTCTGTAAAGTGAGCGACGTGCATTGTTATAGTTCCTTCCTGTTGCCTCTGTAGGTCTTGACGTACATCTGAGGAGCCATTCATGATGTGAAGGTGACCTAGTTCATGTTAATCCAGAGTGGAGACATTTCTGATTGAAAAGCTGACTTCTGAGGTTGTTTCATCCCCAAAGCATGTTGGTGTTCCCAGGGCCTCAAAATCAGGAACATGCTAAGCTTGTTTGGAATGTAATCAACCTGGTCCCAATAATCATGTTGAAGTAAAGTTCAGGCTCGCTTGAAGCTGCAATTAATGAGGGATATTATAAGCATGCCCCAAAACAAGATCAGATGTACGTTTGGGCCCAAGAAAAAAGAAAGCCTTTGCTTTTTCATAATGCTTCTAGACGTTTCCCTCCTTCTCATCCTTTTTCACTGGCTGGGTGGTCTGCCCTGAGAAAAAAAAACATGGTTATTTTCAACTGTAATACAATTACAATGGTTTGAAAATATTCAACGTATGTCTGTCTCATGAATTGAAAACCATTGTTAAATTGGATTATAGCTTATAACTTGTTACAGATTGTTTTTCACATATTTTCAGTGTGTGGAAAAATTGTGAAAAGCCTAAGGGTGCTTTCACACCTGTAGATCAATTGCTTTGTTCCGAAACGGGGATTAAAATTATTACAATGTTGCTTTTTATTCTTGGTGTGGTTCGCTTTCACACGGCAAAGTTTCTAAACGGACCAAATTTGTTAATACAAGTCACGCGCGAGTAAACTGTTCTCTCATAGATCAAAACATACACACAGAATTATGTCAATAGTACCCGTCTCGAAGATCATTCTCGTAAACGCAGTCAGTTATGTTTTAAATGAATGTAAACAGCTGAGAAAGAAATCGGATGTTTAATTATACCACTGGATCTTAAAGGGACAGCAGCCTATAGATACGTGCTGCTGAATATGTCACTAATGTTAATCAAACAACAAAACACAGCTATTGATCTAAATTTAATTCATGCAGTGAACACTATGCAGTGTTATTTTACACTTACTTATTACATTTCTGTACCTGAATACTACTGTTTATTTTACTGACTGTTCACTTGCCTTTAATCATGTTTGAACTTTCTTAGGCTATAGTTTTTGCTGTGGTATATGAAGAAGTACTTAAAGTGTATGGAAGGCAAAGTTACACTGATATCAAATTAGTGTCATTCATTTTTTTGTTTGTAGTATGTTCACATTGATGTTAAAATTACATTTTTGTTTTTGTGACATTTACAAAAGTAATTGTGTACTGCTAAAACACTGCTGGACACTTTCAGAAGTTGTAGTGATTCTTTCTTTTCCAAGAAAGAATGTAAAACAAATTGGTTATATAATTTTCATTGACCAAATTTGTTAATACAAGTCACGCGCGAGTAAACTGTTCTCTCATAGATCAAAGTTCCACGGTTTATTTTCCGGGATTCCACTTAGCTGTCACGGCGGTCCTCTGTCAGGATGGAACGACAACAGCTTTGCGGGCTTATTGTTGTTGTTGTTTTTTTTGTAGCTGTCCTTATATTAATTTATCATTTTGAGCAGGAGTCCAGGATTGATCGGGAAAACATTTATAAAATGCACCTACAAAGAAGAGCAATAAGACCGCATTATAAAATAAAGTGTGCTTTGATTCGGATTGCTTTCTCACTACAACCGAACCGCTCCAGAGTTCGTTTTCAATCGAGCTGAGACCACCTCGTTCAGGTGATCTCGGACCGATTGTTTTGTTGCGGATCCGAGCGCGATTGTCGTGTTCACATATGCCCAAACGAACCAAGCTAGGGGGGGAAACGGGCCAGGTGTGAAAGCACCCTAAGTCTTGTTGCCACTCACAACTAGGTGGGAGAGAACTTGGGGTTTAAAACCGGTAAGTTCTTAGAAAAACACTGGAAATCACTAACATGATTCTGACTTCATTTTTCTTTGTTCATGTGGTACAAAAGTAGAAAGCACACTCTTAAAGTTGGTGCCTTGTAGTTGAGGGTCACTCGATCCATTTTTGTTGGGTTCGTTCTATAGAAGAATATTTTTGAAATGTCTTGTTACAGCTCGTTTTGCTTGTAGGTTTCAGACTTTGATTCTTCCCCCTAAATAATAAGGGGAATCATGTGAGTGCCATTATGTTTAACCTTTGTTACACACTTTCTGAAATGTACTGAAAATGTACCTCAATATCCTTATACTTTATATTTATACAAAAAAACCTTATATTTTTTTTGCTGGCGCCAATGCCACAACTCATGTAAAGTTTTAAAAACAGGACCATCCCCTTGTAATTCACAAGCAAAGCTTTCACATTTGTGTATATTTTTGGCCTTCAGAATATCTTCTCTGGCAGAATAGTTCAGTGAAATATGGTTGAATACGCCTTCGGTACTTCAAAGTGTGATAGTTGACCACGAATGAACCCTCCTCCCTGCTTCAGCATCTCAGAAGAGCTTCAGAATCACGCAAACTGTCGTCCAAAACACATCACACCAGTAGGTGATTTGCTTGATTATGTTAAGAGGAGTTGACTGATTACCTGTCTGAGACCTGGTTCAGAAAAACTGTGAAGTCCTTGTGAACCATGTTGCCTGCTTCTCTAGGGTGCTTGATCCTGGAAATGGAGAAGTCTTCTATTCTCGGAGGTCGGGTAGAGAGCGCGTGAAGAATCGACAGCTTTGAGAGTCAGGCTTGGACGGTGTTCAGCAGGACGCTTTGAAAGGCTGCTTTTGTCGCTGTTCCTGTGCGGAGCTTAGGTGTGCCACACAACGACTCTACTGCCAGTGCAATAAAGCAGCCAAGCTCTTACACACACGTGTATGCTTACAGATGTACTTGTGTGCACACTCATAACTCATAGGCCTGGATTTGAAGGCTGTGAAGAAGACTGCAGGTGTTAAAGGGTGTCCTGAAAGGCATTTTGAAGTCAAGTTAACAGGACATATGGGAGCCTGTACATGTGTTAGCGTTTCCTTTCATCGAGGCTGGAGGATATGATTGATTATCATGAGACTGTGCTTGACCCTGTGTGACGGCAGTGAAAGTTATGACTGTTTGTCACTGAAGAATTCTGAGGGACTTTTTATCATGCTTCTTTGTTTCTTGTGGGTTTTTCAACTGCTTATTTATGTTAACAAGTGAATACATTTGTAAATAAATAAATTATGCAATCATTATTCCTCACCACATGTGAGTTGTAGCTTGATGAATTGAATGTGATAAGCTAAAAATACAGTTTACTGCAAAATAATACAGAGAAAATGTCTTTGCATGCAAAAAAAAAACATACTTTACAACTAGTGTCATCTGGGTTGACAAACGAATGACTCTTACTAGTCGATTCTTTTAACGAATTGAATCAGTTTTATGAATGTTTTGCTGAATGAACTAATGTGTACAAGTTATCATCTGGCTCACTCACTGAACTCCACATCATTACATTCAGTAAAGTTTGAACTAAAAAATTCGTTTTTTGAAATGTATGTCTATATAATTCAATTTTAATAAAATACATTTAAATTTGAATTTAAAAAGTCTAAATATTGAACTTAATTGTATTATGAACATCAAATTGAATTATAACTTAATTAAAATATAACAAATTATTACCCAAATAGTATTGTTTTTATTTCTGTAGTTAGGACCATTTTGTTGCATTGTCCATGCATTTTGATTCAGTTGTGGGGGGTTTGATAATTTGGTGGTGGACGGAAAAGTGTAAAACAAAAACACACACACACACACACACACACACACAGCATACAAAACTGTTTATTTAGTTTCCAACACATTAAGCTGTGGAGTTTGAAGCAACATTTAGGCCTAATGTTGCATTTAATTCCCCTTTTCTCCATATTATTTTCTGTTACCTCTTAAATCTGCTTATAAATAAACATACTAAAAGTTTATAGAGCATCATCTGAAAGTCTTCTCCGTCACTTTTCTTCTCCATTTCATAGTGGGTGGCAGGGTGAATCAGGAACTCAAATACACGCGGCAGAAGATCGGAGAGGAGGCCATGTTTAGTCCTCAGCTCATGATACAGATGCCACGACAGGAAGGTGCTAACATTCTGACTGTAGAGGCACTGAAGCAGCACCTCGACTCTGCCATAAAGGCCAGCAGAGTGCATATTTACATGTACAACAGGTAACGGCACAACAGCTTCTGAACAGTTATTTCCTTTTGGGTAGTTGACGCATAACATGTCATTGGACTTTTTTATCAACCAAAAATGTAGGTTAAAATTTGGGAAAGTGTGTATTTTAAGTTCTGTAACTGGTCACTATGTCTTTTAAGTTTTCTGCTTTAATGGTTGTTCACAAAATTATAGTTCAACTAATTTCCACTGTTGTGTTTTCAGGCAATGGAAATTGGAACATTTATGCTTCAAATCAGGAGAAATTGTTACAGAAACCAATTTTGTGGACCAGGTAAGTAAGAATGGTTACAATATCTTTTTAGATTGACGTTTTAGTAGAAATGATTAAAATTCAGAGGAGGACCTCTAAGGGCTTGTTACAGTAATAGAGCATTAACTTTTCAGATTATAGAGAAACTGCACCCATGTCTGATCATCACTCCTCTAGACTGCTTCTGGGAAGGTGCTAAGCTACATTCAGGAACGGTCTACCTCCCGTGAGTTACACACACCTTTCTGTATTTGCTTGGAGCCTGTAATGTTTGATCCTGTCCCATCTGGCTCTTGTCATCAAGTTGATTTGCCAGAAAGGCCATTTTCATACACTAAACACTTCACTGACATGTCCTTCCTGTGAATAGAGCCATGTTGAAAACCAATAAACAAGCAAACTAAATTTAAAGGAAAAAGTTTTTCCTTCCAACCAAGAGAGGTGGTGAAAAGACGATTTTATAGTGTTTATTTAATAAATTACCTCTTTACGGGTAATTTATTTAAAAACTTAATTCAGGCAAGATGTTTAATGTGATTTAAATCATTTTTAGTCTCTGTATGGTGAAATTCAATAATCAGTGAAACTAGCCGCTGCAGGCCTGCCAGAAGAGAAAGAGAGAGGGGCGATCAGAAGGAAACATACAGAAAAAAGGAAAGAATGATAGAAAGAGGGAGAAATGAGAGAAAGATGGTGCAAGGACGGAAAGGCAGAGCGGCTTAGAGAGTCAGTCAGCGGAGCCGTGGAAGTGGACAGAAAGTGGGAGGGTGAACTCAGTGCGAGGAAGGCCTTTTGAGGATAGAGTCAAACATATGGATGGGACGGGAGACCATGTAACGATGCAGCAAGAGAAAGAGGGTGCTGAAAAATCCAACTGAGACAAGATGGCAAGTAAAGTATGGGAGGTTTGTGAAACTGCTGCGTTGGGCTGTTAGTTGTGGGGAGATGCCAGGCCCTGAGCGGGATTACCCGGCACGGTAGTATAATTAGAGGGGATAAAGATCAGATGAGCGGATTGATTCTATTTTCTCAAAGCTGTTATTATGGAGGCAGGCAGAAATCCAATCCCAGCTACATTAGTGCTGCCACCGCTGTGACGTGCAGCGTCCATCAATCCCTAAGCCGTCGGAATTCCATCCAGTCACCCTTCATCCGCTCCCCGTAGTTATGCCGAACTACTTTAAGCACATCCAACATCCCATAAGCAGGGCTCAGTCCGTGCTTCTCCTTCATGGTTAAACATACACTACCGTTCAAAAGTTTAGGGTCAGTCAGATTTTACTTTTTGAAAGAACGGAATACTTCTATTCTGCAAGGACTTATAAAACTGATCAAAATGGACAGGAACAGGATTTATAATGTTCCAAAAGACTTTGCTGTTCTTTTGAACTTTATGAAAGAATCCTGAAAATTGTTTTACAGTTTCTGCAGAAATATTAAGCAGCACAACTGTTTTCAACATTGATAATCGTAAGAAATGTTTCTTGAGCACTTAGAATTAGAATTATGATGATTTCTGAAGGATCATGCGACGCTGAAGACTGAAGTAATGTTGCTGAAAATTCAGCTTTGCCATGGCAGGAATAAATTACATATTAAAATATATTAAAATAGAAAATAATTATTTTTAATTGTAATAGTATTTCATAATATTACTTTTACTGTATTTTTGATCAAACACATGCAGCATTAGTGAGTTCTGCATTTTAAAAACTTCAAAATGTAGCAGATCAACGTCAGTTTTACAACAATGAACCAATCCTAAGACATTTTGGATAAAGCAAGAGTACTCAGTGTTTGCATTAGCAACGGTCTATGGGAGTTAATGTGCCTATAACCCCGCTTTCAATTCAATTCCATTGTGCTTCATCAGACTGTATTTGATGCTGTAAACCCCTAAGGCCACATCAATAAAATAGTTTATTTTTTCCCGTAGTGGCAAAGACCAAGTGCAGTGGACCAACTTTGATCCGATGGGATTCATTGCTGAGCTGAAGATGCTGAAGTATCCGGTGGACAGCTGGGAGGAGATGCTGGTCAAAGCAGAGGTGGGTCATGGCTATATGGACCGCCCCTGCCTGAATCCCGCGGACCCCGACTGCCCATTGTCAGCTCCCAACAAGAACATGACACGGGTGAGTTCAGCATACAAGGGATGACATGGAGCAATAGCTGAAAATAATTTGCGATTATTTGTTATTCTGTGTTGGGTGTCTGTTTTCTGTTTTCCCAGTCATAGGCTACAGACAAAGATTCACTAATTAAAGCAATGTTGTTTTGCAATTTGAGCGTGTCTCAGATTTATGATCTGTCATATTCTTAAGCCTTTTGACGTGGCTCGTGTTCTGACTGGTGGCTGCTATGGGCTTTCCAAAAAGTACATGCAATGGCAGGAGGAGCTTATCGTAGGTGGGATCAAGAAGAACGACAGCGGCAGACTTCTGAGGTAAGAGACAACTTTGGGGTTTTAACGCTGACGGCATTTAGAGAAATTGATTTATCTTAATGTATTTTACTTGTAAAGGGAATAAATTATTGTTGAAACCATAGAAGAGTGAGAAAGGAAAAAATGAAGTGTGTCTTTAAGTTTGTCACAGTTTGACAATTTTGGGACATTACGTGGCAGTGGATAAAAGATCACTTTGTCTTTCCCTCTCTCGTACACACTCACATGTACAGTGTGTAAGGCTTGTGTTTTGTTTCTTTCTTGGCAGATTGTAACCATTAGTAAACTGCATATTAGTATTCATTCCCACAGACTGAAGGAAGCCCACACCTTTAACTCCTAGAGCGAAACATTTTTTTCCCCAGACCTCTTTAAGCTTGAGTGGGGACAGAATTCAGCATCCTCATTATGAAAGAACATTGTCATACCTCCCAAAAATGTTAATACACAACAGTGGTGGTGGCGGAAAATATTCTCTAGTGGCTTTGGAATCGTCCACTGTGATTTCTATGAATCTTTTCACTCTGAAAACCATGGTTTTCTGAAAAGAGAACGTCAAGGGTTTTTCTTTCAAGAAGTGTTCATTGAACAATAGTAGGTTGACAAGTCCACTTGAGGGAGTCTGTACTCTACAGTTGGGGCCGTTTTAGCTCATCTGTGGAGCAAAGTGACAGGCAGCTGTTTTTCAGCATGTTAGTGGTTCTTTTCAAGGTTTTTATCCCCAAGTAGTGACAGACAAGGTCAAGACTGTGTTTGCTGTAGAATTTTGTTTTTGCAGCAGCCATCATCACCCCCAAGAAAAGAAACGCTAAACGTTAACCAATAAAGTCTTCTACAGCATTTTTTTTAATTAAAAAATATTTATAATAACAAATTCAGAAACTTTTAATAACCTTAAAAATTTGCATTTTAATATTGCTTTTACTAAGTATATAATGGCATGTTTCGAGACAGACATAACGAGTTGATTCACTGAGGATATGAGCTGATTCAGTTCATGATTCAGAGTAAAGAGTTTTGGGTCAATTAAGTTGATTCGGACTGATTCAGACTGTTGCCTACAACGTCAGGGGATTAGAACCATATAAACAGATGGTTCAGTATATTGGTAATAAATACATTTTCTGAGAATTTATGTTTCAAGCTTCAACCTGCAAATATCAAAACTTTTTTTTGTGTGGAAAAAAAAGTAGATTATTTTGAGTTTGTAGCAGTAGTAAGTTTTGGGACACCATGTCATAAAATTGCTACCAGAAATAGTAGACCATCTGGAGACTTTTGGCATACTCAATATTGGAACCATGTTGGAACACACTTATTCCAATCTCACATCTGTTCAGCAATGAAACACTTGGTCAGTTTATACTGTATGTTCAGTTCACCTTTTCACTCTACTCTTCCTCACAGTGCACAGGCCCTTCAGACCATGTTCCAGCTCATGACCCCAAAGCAGATGTACGAGCACTTGAAGGGCTACGAGGAGGTCTCGCACATCAACTGGAACGAGGACAAAGCAGCTGCCATACTAGAGGCCTGGCAGAGGAGATACTCTGAGGTAAATGCATGTCTTTCACCACGGATCATCTCACGGAATGGATGTAAAGGTGCTCTGTGAATGTCCAGACTGCAGTCTACTTTAGTGGACATATTTACAGTGATTGTTTCTGCGGTAGTATTTGTAGTAATTCAATCTTGCATCAAGTTTTACTTTGCTTAAAACTGGATCTTGTTAGGAACCGTTTAGGAGGCCCAATTCATTCCTCCAGCCCAACGTTGTGTTTCCTGGAACATGCACTCACATACATGCACTCATGCAGTGTGAAGGCATTCATCTTGAGTCATAAGTAATATATACATTCCAAAGGGGCTGTGTCTCTTGAGGGTAGGACCCAGCTGTTTAAGTGCAGTCCTTCAAAGGCATTGACTTCCCTTTTTTCGCTTCTTCATACTTTAAACGCTCAGGTTAAGTATGAGCTTGGAAAAACGGGGCACATCTGTAAGGTCAGGAAAGGTTATGATGGGACAATGTAGAAATGTGTGCGCTAAACCCTTCACATGTATTAGATGTTTTACGTTGTTGCATCGAAAACATGACTTCTGGAGGTATTTCAGTCCTGTCGCAACCAAATGCATTGCTTTTTTTTTTTCTCCTTCATTTTTTCTGTTAGTAATCAGGGTAACACTTTACATTGAGGCGTCATGAGCTAACTAATGAACATTTTAATAGTATTTACCAATCTTGCATGTTAATTATTACCTACATATAGCATTTCAAGTTGTATGAATTAACATTAATGAATGCATGCATGAACAAACATGAATTAACAAATCAACTATAGTAGTTTTATAGTGAACATTTGATATATTCTTACAGAATTTATTAATAGTTTAATTTGTTAACATTAGTTAATGCAATAGGTGTTATATACTAACAATATTTTTATAGCATTTATTAATGTTGCATAATGTTAATGTTTATATTTTACATATAATATTTCAAGATGTATAAATTAACATTAATGTACTATTAACCAATTTAAATTAACAATAGTATATTCATAGTAAACTTTATTTGGTAATCTTTAATTTAGTAAATTAACATTTTTAAAGCATTTATTTACCTTGGTTAGTTGTTAATTTGTTGGTTGGTAATTTATAAATGTACTATTTGTAAATTCACGTTTTTGCATAATAAATTTGTTTTTATACAACTTGACTTATGTATGCCATTATGCAAAGTTACAAAATTTTGTATAATACTATACTATTACTATACTATTCATTGTTAGTTCATGATACCTAATGCATTAAGTAATGTTTACAAATTGAACCTTATTTTGAAGTGTTAGCAAAATAATTTTAGCATTCTTTAATAACAGATTTGCTCATTTATTCTGAGGTGGCAGCATTTACAGCACAGCCTGTTTTTGCTAGAGTGGGTGTCCATTGCAGAATCAACCCCTCTTGGTGTGGTGGCCCCAGCACTTGTGTGTCTGTGTGTGTGTATTAGTGTGTGTGGTATCTGTGTGTGTGTGTGTGCATGTTTAACAGGACCGTCTGGAACACATTAACCCGCTCAGCACACAATCTCTTTCACAGCTGCCGTCCCATTGGTGGCTTGTGTGTGACATCATCTGGTCTCTGTTTTGTCAGCCCTGACCTCCGCTTGGCATAGGGTTTCCTTCTGGTGCGTGTGTGTGCAGGGCTGAACATGTGTGCATTTGTGGATGTGAGTGTGTGTGGTTTTAGGGCGGTGGGGCTGCGATATTCATTTCTTGGATAATTGTGCTGCTGAAACATTTGTGGGACTGTGTTATTTCCACGTTATTTAATTAGTTTCATTGGCCTGATGGAAAATACAAAACAAAGAAAAGATGAGCAGTGAGAAGATGATAGAAAATGAATTAAAGCTAAACAAAATGTTTTACTTCTTTCTTCCATCCTGTTTGTCCTGTCCAGGCTGTCCAGCAGAGTGTGTCAGTAAATTCGTCTCAGAAAGTTCTCACGTTCACCACCACCACCCTGGAAGACATCCTTAAGTCCTTCTCTGATGTCAGTGTGATCCGTATCGCCAGTGGCTACCTCCTAATGGTAAACTAACTCCTACATCTCCAGCCTTTTTTGTTCAGGTTAAAGCACAACCTCATTAACTATACTGTGCTGAGGGTGAGTAAATGACGACAGAAATTTCATTTCTGGATGAACTGTCCCTTTATTTAGCATGCTAACAGCATATTTTATCTGTTAGATTGCTTGGATGGTAAAACCCTTTTGGAAAAGTTACATTTATTAATTTCACCTATTAATTTCATACCCTTTCAAGCACCGCTGCTTTAGTCATTCACATTCAGACAGACTTACTTGGCCATTATATCGCTTTTTTATTTAATTTTTTAAGTCCCACCACAGCCGTTGTTTTTAAGACACTGTTCCCTGTGAAATAGAAGTGCACTGTAGTGTACTTTTAAAAAGTGTACTTATTACAGAAAAAAAATACGCTTGCAATTGCAATTAAATGATAATGTATTATTGTTTAAATTTAAATTGATCATATTAAATGCCGCTAGTTAAACTTAAAAGAGTGTTTTTTACCCACTTAGGTAGGGCTTAAGTACCTCTTTATATGTAATTTCGGCCCCACTTTATATTAAGTGGCCTAAACTACTATGTACTTACATAAAAAATTAAGTACAGTGTACTTATTGTGTTCATATTGTATTGCAAAACACTTTTGCTGCTATTAAGGTGGGATACGGGTAAGGTTAGGGACAGGTTTGGTGGTATGGATAGGTTTAAGGGTGGGTTAAGGTGTAAGGGATGAGTCAACTGTGTAATTATAAATGTAATTACAGAAATTAAATACAGATGTAATTACATGCAGGTATTTTTAAAATATAAGTACAATGTAAAACATGTATGTACACAATAAATGCATTGTACCAAATTATTAATTTAAATGTAAGTACATAATTGTTAAGGCCACTTAATATAAAGTGGGTCCGTAATTTCCCAATTACTTCTATTGTCCTTTTACACATCTGCAATGAAGCTGCAATTTAGTAAATTTAAACTAAATTCACTTTAAATTCGATATCAAATAACAAACTACAGTTAAAATGATATTTTACACATTCTTTAATATGTTAGTCAATGCATCAAAATAAGTGTACTTTAAAGCATGACACAAGATTATTTAAACAGTGATTTAAAACGTATTTTAAAGTATGTGTTAACAAATATAGTCATGAAGGTGTACTTTGTACTTTTTAAGATTTTAAGTACACTACAAATGCACTTTCAAACATGCACAATTTTATTTTCACTTGGGATATTAGATAAAAAATATTCCAGTTTATAAAAATGTGTCTCGAGACCTCTAAATTCATTCTGTTGCAGCTCTGTTGCAATTTTTTATGGAAAACGGCCTCAAGATATGTGTCCCGTTGGGGTCAGATGCGCCTGAAACAAGTATAATTTTATAGGGACCTTTGAGACTGATAAATCAGCTGGTCAAAGCTGTGACGAAGCAGGTTATGGCACATGTTGTACTGCTAATGTGAGTTTTGCAAGTTTGAATTTTCTGTCGCTCTCTCCTCTACAAGTCAAAAAGGCTTGTAGGACCATAAAATGTAACAACAATTGACCTAGCCTCAGAATCAAACAATCGACTGATCACTGCAGTACGATATATCGTGTGAAGGAGTTCGTAGGGATAGATGTTTTTCATTTTAAAATCTTGTTTTTCGTGCTGAAAATTCAGACTTGGTGTGTATAGGCCTTTAGTGTTATGTTACATGCAGCTTGCCAGTGCATGCCTGACCCTGCTGTGCCATGACCGCACTCATGAGAACAGCGCTGCAGTAACATGATAATGTCAGATTAACGCTATAGCTATGTTATGTGTGTGCAGCTTGCCTATGCGTGTCTGACCATGCTGCGGTGGGACTGCGCCAAGTCTCAGGGGGCGGTTGGGCTGGCCGGAGTGTTGCTGGTCACTCTTTCTGTCGCCGCTGGACTGGGACTCTGCTCACTTTTGGGCATCTCCTTTAACGCCGCTACCACACAGGTACATCGCACGCACATGAGCAAACATGGACACCATCGGTAGTGTAACATCTTTCACGTGTAACATGCTCTTCTGTTTTCATGTGCTTAAAGGTGTTGCCGTTCCTAGCCCTTGGTGTAGGGGTGGACGATGTCTTTCTCCTGGCTCACGCTTTCAGCGAGACTGGCCAGAACAAGAGGATTCCATTTGAGGTGTGTTATCTCATCCCAAACATCCTGAAAAGCAGGGAACACAATTAAAAAACAAGAGTTTTCTCCCACCACAAACCCTCAGAAGCGCAAAAGTGACTACACATCCAAAGATAGTGTCGAGACAAGGCAGTCCGTTCAGAAATGAGGGAGCTAGCATGTTATCAGGAGGAAGGGGGGTATATCAATGCATACCCTCATGTTATCACTTACATAAAGGAATGTGTGTGTACCTGCCCCGGCCTGTGATGTAACTTCAAAACACTGGCATACTTTGATCTGCTGAGGGCCACTGTGTGATGTGTGACTCAAGACGTTTCTAAACAAAACAGATGAAAAAATGTACCATAGTACTACCATTGTTTTGTTTTGATTTTAGATATGGTACCATGTTAGTACTATTGTTTCCTATGACACACTTTAAATTAACAAATAAATAACAGTATACTTACAGTACAGACGCTCGGGACAGATGACGCATTGTATTATTTGCATGTGTTTTTGAGTCTTACAATTTTAAACATTCGAGTACTCAATTCAATACCTGCACGCTCTTTGTGAGACCCCTTTCTGTGAGCTCACATGCAAAGTGCATGCACATAGAGCCGCATCTGAAAGCGCGCGACTTAAGAATGAAGTTGTGTTGCACCTTATTGCGTGTAAACAGCCAAATACATACAAAATTGTCAAAATGCCCGTCTTGATGAGTATTCATGTAAACAGTCGATTTATACTAAACATTGTCAGTATATTGGCTATTTAGTGAATGTAAACAGTTGAGAAACAAAACTTGTGTGTAACAGTTAGATCCGTGCATGAGGTCTTAAAGAGACAGCAACCCAAATAAACCTGCTGCTGTCTGTCATTAATGTTTATTCATACATTGAAGACTAACCAGTGTTGTTTTAAAGTTAAATAGATTATTCGGTTTCTGTGGTATTTCTGTACCTGAATATTACTGTTATACCTACCTGAAAAACTTCAAGCACAGTTAATTTTAGTTGTATCTTGTTATTGTATTTGTTTGTGCCATTGCTTTATCTATTCTTATTTTATTACTGACTGTTTACTTGTCTTTTTTAGTTAAAATATATTCAATTCAGAGTTTGAAATCAAAGTTATTTTGAAGTATCTTCCTCACTGTTGAAATATCAACACCATTATAAATTGTAAAACACAAATACACTGGGTGACGAAACAGTTAGGTTGGAAGATTGTAGTTTAAAAATATGTCTAAAAATACCCTTACTTCCCCCCCCCATTAAGAGCAACCTATAGGGGGAATTCCCCCCATTTTCCAAAACGAAATTCAGGCCCTGATTATTATCATTATTACATTTTTTATTAAGCGTCTTTTAACTTCAAAATGACATATGAACAATCAGTCAGTAATGATACAGATTTACATTTCACAAACCTTAAGTGTTAAACACTTGCTTTGTTTGAAGATGAAAATAACTAAAAGTAAAGATAACTGGAGACATACTCAGTTCATTCAGTAAAGGATTTGTCTTGCTTATTCAAACCGGTAACTCCTGAATATTTCTGAACTGCGTATTAATTTGAAGAGCAGCTCATTAGAGTCATTTGTTCATTCATTGGTCTATGCTGGTACACTGCAGTACAATATTTTTATTCTTCTTAGTTTTATCCGTACCTTTCTATTATATCAAAGTACTGTGGTATTACCATCTGATATCATCACTTTACCGTGGTACTGCCAGGTGTTAATCTTTAATCAATTTCTGTAAAAACCAATACTAGCACGGGCATTGAGGATTTGAGTTGTTAGTTTGATCGTTTTTTTTTTTTTTTTTTTTTTTTTTTTTTTTTTTTTTTTTT